CATGAAAACTTCCAAGCAGCAACTGATACAACTCAGGCAAAGCAGCTAGGTGGGGAGATTAGGATCAGTGGTTTTCAACAAAGGGGAGCCATTAGGTTTCTTTCAGTCAAGACCCCAGGATGCAGCTGTGTTTGAGGGCCTGAACCTCTAGTTTCCTCTATTATCATTCACGCCCCAAATCCAGTCTATTGTATAAACTGTAAGCTAAGGGCCTCTTTGGCCATGACCTTTCCTCTGTTCAGTATCCCTCAGATCTCATTTGGTTGGTTCCTGGAGAAAATGACAAACTTTCTGGGGCTACTCAGCTGCCAGGTAGTTTTCTGGTTATCATCCCAGATCCCTAACTTTGTCTGGACTCTTGAGGTTTGGGTCCAGCAGGGGTTATGGGTAGGCTCCAAGCTTTCCAGACTGTTTGTCCGAGGCTTGGGGCTAGAAAAGTCACTAAATTCTGTTACATCACTCAATGTCCCTCTCTAAGCCTACCTACTTATTTAGAACTAGGTATTAAGAAAGCTCTGGTACTGGGAAGGTCTTGGACAAGTAGTCTATAAAGAGCCCAAGACCAAAGTAGGAACATTTATCAGGACTCTGGGAAGGAGGGCAGACATCACCACCCTCAGAGGAGAGAAACCAGGTTTCTGGTGACTTAGTGATACACTTGGAGTTAATGATAGTTAATGTTCAAGACTAGAACACCAAGTCCCCAGTGCAGTTACATGCTCTCCTCGTTTGCTGTCCTTCCCTGAAGCGTGGAATGTGAATTGTAGAGTCCAACAATCCACTCTGAGAAATGGTTCAGGGTGGACTTCACAGGTTTTTTGAAGTAACCTTAGAAACCATCTTAGAGAAGGTTAAGAAGCCTTGTTCTGGGTGACACTGGAGGATAACCCCCAATCCAATAATTACGTCACTAGGCCCTCCCACCAAGGGATACACATAATTAGGTTTCTGCAGTGGTATAGTTCTTGTCCAACGTGTTTCTCCCTTGGTCACGAGGCTAAAGAAAGCAGGGACAGGATCCCTGAACCTAAACTGAGGCTCAGTCCTATTTTGCCGTAGGGAGCTGTGGCTTTCAAGGTATTCTGGTCAGATCCTCCAACTTCAATGAAGATGAAGAAACTAAGGCCCAGAATGGGGGTACAGATGAGGATGTGGTCATTGAAGGTAACCCAGAGGGCACAAAATAAGGCCCTGGGTTCCAAACCCCATGCTCTTCCCACTACAGCACCTGTTTTCTGTCAGCAACCTGAATTCACATTCTCCTTTGGATGGTTTTCCCTCCTCTCTGCTGCACTCAGCTTTTAAAAAAGCTTCTAGTCCCCCAATATGATGAGACCTTTATAAAGAACTATAGATTTGGAGCTTGGAAGGCCCTCATCCAGTCTAAGCACCTCACATTTCATAGTTGCAGAAATTCAGGCAAAAGAGGCTGAGACTTGCTTCAAGTCAAAAATAGCAGTTAAGTAGCAGAGTTAGGGTTCATACTAAACAAGACACCTACTACCTCTGTGACCTTAGCAAAGTCACTTAATCTCTTGGGGTATCAACCTCCTTGTCTGAAAAATATTGGGGGTGGGTGGGAGGGGTGTGGTTCACAATTGCTCTGTTTCCTCATCTATAAATCACTAATATATTACACCTCCTTTAAAATACTGATGTGTGAGGAAAGCGCTTTGAAAAACAACACATTGGGCAGCTAGGTGGCACAGTGGATAGAGCACCAGCCCTGAAGTCAGGAGGACCCGAGTTC